TCAGTATTGTTGACTTGACTCACTGCATGAATATTGCCAAGCAGTAGCAAACCACGATTTCATTTTCCTGCTCTCACTAGTACATCTTAGCCAGACATGCGGTTTTAAAAAAGACAAATCATATGAACTATGACAAACAGTAGCCTTTTTACTCTTTCTGCAGATTTTTTTTCTTTTTTTTAGAGACTTTCCTAGACCCCAGTTGTATAAATATCATAAGCAGATATGCAGATGTTTCTACTTTTCCTTGATCAGAAAGATGATATTGAATACCCCTCAGGCATTAGGAGTGGGATATTTCACACATAGGTCACCTGAGCGAGTGAAGCCTTTATCAAGGGGTGACGGATTAGTGGAAGACATAAAAGGAGTTGATGAACTCACACCAGGTACTATCAGATGAGTATTTATATTCTAAAGCCAATGGCAAATTTACAAGAGAATGCAGCTTTTTTTTTTTTGTGGTGAAACAAAACAAAAAAAAGACCTTTATGTGTACAAAGGCTGAAACCTTTAACATTTGTGAGCTGATTATTCTACAGAGGCAAAATTATGGAGAATCTTGGAAATCTTGGTGGTGTATCTGTTTAATAAATAAACTGAATCCCTCCTCATGGGAGGAAAAGCTAATGTTTTCCTCACTTCCAATTACCCAGAAAGAAGAATTAATGCCTTTTAAAATATGATACTTATCAGAAATAAAAATTACTGAATATGTATCTGTGATCTCAATTGTCCCGAAAAAGCTGTCCGTGGCATTACAAAACAATATAAACATAGCAGAGTTTCTGAAGGACAGTCACTACTGAACTCATTTCCGAAGTATGGCATAATTTTGCTTAGCTCTGCAGATTAACGGAGTTTGATAAAAACTAAACAATCATTTGTAAATCTCAAGCCTCAGTTACCATGGTTCACAGGAAGCTGTACACCTAATGGTAGTTAAAACAACCTGTTGTTTTGTAATGACTGGAAAAAGAGTATTGAATGCAAAGTAGATAAACTGCATTTAAGCCTCAAAGATAAAACTGGTAAAGGAAGATCATGTCTTCTTTTGCTGAACTTCAGTAGTTATAAGCTTTGTACAACACCGCTTTTCCTCATATTGCCTAAGATTTATATTAGTTTAACATGCGATGCAATCCCTCCAAATTCAGCAAAGAAAATGATACTGCTTCACAACTGGACTTTCCTAATTCAAAGTTTACTGAAACAAAAGACTGCTTCATTTTTTGTTTTTTATTTTATTTTTTTCATTCATGCTGAGGAACTGGAAACACTTCAATGAGTATGAAAGATAGTACAGTCCTGACACTGTAGTAAAGACTGATCGTTATAATCATGGCAATGATAAACCCTTATTTTAAGACAGAAACTTCAAAGTATGAAAACAAACACATCTACTGGACTTTATTTCTCTTACTGAATCATGCTCCATTATATTTCTCTACATCATAGTCTATCTAAAAGCAACAAAAAGTAAGGAACCCTGCACATCAGAAATGCTCTACATGGACTACATTTTTAGAGGACATAAATACATTAGAATATATCAATGTATATGAACAAATTAGGGTACAAGGGTGTGTTTCAGAGACTTTTCAATGTGTGCACACTATTAAAATATGTCTGAGATCTGTTTAGAGAAAGCAACAATTATATTTCTTATTAAAGAATATGCAATTACAGCCCTCTTTACACTTCCTGCTTCCTTCAACAATGAAGACCTGTCTGCGTCGAAGATTATAAAGTCCTGCACTGTTTCACTAGGTCACCAGCCTGAACAGGCCAATCCACTTTCATGGCAATTTATTCCTGATTTTCTCTCCTGAGCCAACTTCTTTTATTATAATACTGAGACTAACTGGAGATTTACAGCATTGTCACTGCAAGAGAATTAGCCCCTGTGAAATTAAACAGAATGCTGTTTAAACTTAAACTCCAGAAACTTTTGTGAGATCCCTAATGTATTATTCTCATGACTACTATCTTTAAAATCTTCTTCAGACGCTGAAAAATCTGAACCTCAATCCTCCTATTTTTCCCCAAAATTTGTCACAGCCATAGCTGTGCTGCAAACACTTTGTATACTAAATCATTATTTTAGTTCCTTTTTGTTTATGGTATTTGTCTGTCATCAGAAAAACCAGAAAGACTACAGTTCAGATTTCTCAGGATCATAAATGGTTTGATTAAACTACAGATGTTAATTAAGACCCAAATCTGTATCTTCATGCATAGCCAGAATAACCAGCTTGTTAGCTAGGGAAGGCCCATGATATTTAGAATATTCCATGTTGTAGGATGCAGATCACAAGTGGAAGGCTTCCAGGGCAGCTTCTGTAACCTCCTCTTCAGTTGTATCATGCAGGTTTGGGGAAAAAAAAACATGCATGGGACAGACTGTCTGAACAGTGCCCATACATCCTGGACATGGCAAAAGCAGACAGTTACGATATGGCAGAGCAAACCTGTGTGCTGGGCTGCCATCACATTGGCAACATTTTTGTAAGATTATATTGCTCCCTGATTTGAGAAACTTGAAAGCAGATTAAGTATATGTGTATATATATATATATATATTTACAAAGAAATAAGCAATTTTGAATCTCGCTATGCTTTTCCTATAAATAAATAAATAAACAACTTAGTATGTTTTTTTTTTCCTTTTTAATTTAAATTCCACAAAAAATCTCTCAAACCAATATGAATGTCTAGCCATGATGGCCATTGCAGTTTCCAGTGAGAAACAGTGAGAATTTTCATTATAAATAGTATTAAATCCAAGAGTTTTTCTGTGCTGTCTTTTGTGGTACTAAATAAAATGGACCACAAAATCTACTGAGAGAACAGCTATCAGCAGGTACTAAGTACTGGTGTTCATATGAAACCAACTGCTATGAATAAACAGGTACTGATTTATATAGTTTATGGTCTAATCCAATAAAATATTCTGGCACTCCAAAACCTTGGTGCTCCAGCATCTAAGTCCCCTATCAGATATCCAGAACCTTGTTTTTAAAGTGGTGGGCATAAAGCGAGACAAGCAGCCTGGAAGACAGGCAGCACATTGTGCCTTGACCCCAGCATAAACTGGCTGGAAATAACAGGGAAGAAACATGGAGGTTTGTCCCAGATTGAAAATCCTGCCTCCCTTTAAAGCCAGGGCTTTACCTGAGGGCTACCTGTAAAGACAGGGCTCTACCCAGGGCTGTCTGAGAGATGCCTCCATCCACTCAGTATCTACACCCTGATTCTTTTTATGAAAATAGGTTCCTGTGATCTTTCCTTCAAAACTTATGTTTTATTAAAACATAGCTAGAGGAGAAGCTGTCTTGCCATCTCCCTCTGTATAACGACTCTGTGATTAGAGCGCTCACACAATCACGGGATTCATCGCTCCTGCCCTGAAAGGCCCCAGCTCACACTCGTTTCCCCCAAGGGAGGACTCTGACCATCAGGCTGATGGTTATTTTAGAACAGGCAATCTCGACCCTTCTGCTGAAATGGTGCCCTTGAGCACAAACAAATTCAGGATTCCTTAGATCATAATCTAATGTTTAAATTATTCCTAGGGTTGGGGAACACACTGAGTTTTCCTGGGATTATGTCTATCTTCTCTATCATAAATTGTTGTGGAATGCACAAAACACCTCCTCCCCCCAGTCCAACACCCCAAAAAAGGGAGGGGGGGGGTGCAATAATGTCTTCTAGGAGTAAGTGCCATCACTACCAGAGTGACCCTGCTCCAGTCATGCCAGACAGTCTGGAGAATGCTCCAGGAGGGGCCAGGAGGTCAAGCCAACAAAGCAACCTGGGTAGAGAAATGAAATGCCATGGAGCTGAGGTCCTGAGGTCCCTGCATGAGCAGGCTTGAAAGGCAGCTTGAGAGTCGCAGGTGGAAAAGGAACTAACTCCAAGGCCTGAACCACGAAGACAAACATACTGCTTTGAGGTTTAAGCAACTGCCCAGCAGAAATTTTTGGAATCACAACTGTTTGTTCACATGTTTAAATTCCACCCGAGTCACACATTTCACACCACCTAGACCAAAATGTAAGTATTGACAGAGACATCTTTGTGTTCATCAAAGTATCTGTTTATTTATGAGAGAAAGAGAGGAGAGAGAGAGAGAGAGAGAGAGAGAGAAGAAGAAGAAAGAAAGAAAGAAAGAAAGAAAGAAAGAAAGAAAGAAAGAAAGAAAGAAAGAAAGAAAGAAAGAAAGAAAGAAAGAAAGAAAGAAAGAGAAAAGAAAGAGCGAGCGAGCGAGAAAAAAACAATTGTTGAGGACAGTTAACATTGAAAGCACTGAGTTGTTACCTTCACAGGATAATCCTTGTTGGTGCTCAGCTGACAGATTGATGTTCAAGGTATGGTGTACCTCTGGCTGGGAATCATCTTGCAAGGTTTAGGGCTTTACACTAAAACTGTCCTGTCTGTAGATAAACTACAAAGGGAGAACTGTGCTAAATCCTAATTTCATGTTGCAATATTCCTGAGGTTAAAACATATTTTTTGCAGAAGTAACATGTTTATTCTGACATTGTAACTAATGCCTTCCACTACATGAAAGAAATATTAGAGGAAACATTAGAAGAAACCTTACTGACTAGATGTGGTAAACTCTGGACCAAAGACATTGCTTTAAAACTTCCTTATTGTGTGCAGTTTCTGCTTAGGTCTTTATAAATTCTCTAAATTTCTAATAACAAAATGTACTTGTATCTCTAAACAGATCTGTGGTGAGGTGTTTATGTTGCCATCTATAGAGCAGGAAAAGCCCTTCCACTGGACTTGTCAGGAATGCAAGAAAAAGAGATGATTTTGTCTTATTTCTTCTGGTTCCATAAACCCATTTACTAAGACCTAATGGCACACCTTGTAACTCCTAGTTAGGTATTCAGAATAGCAACATGCGTATGTTAAACATAATTTGTGAAATATATGCCATATTTGATAAAAAATGCATGTAGTCAGAATCATATGATGATTTAATTTGCTTAGATGTAAAACCTGAATTTATTATACACAACCTATATTTGTAAAAGTAGACAGTCACCTGGTTTCTCTTCACTGGTCTAATCTGGCAGTGCCTCACTAGAGGCAACAGAGTTTTTAAAAGCAGCCAAGACAAGCCAGACGCCAAGGGGAAGGAGCAGACAATGTGCAGGAAAAAGTGGTTAACACAAATATTAATACAACCCTTCAATCCTTTCCAAAATGAAAGTTTCAGATCAACAGAAGGTGGAGAGGGCAATCAGACAACAGAGAAGCGAGTCTGACGTTGTTGACGCATCTGCCACAAGTTGATCTTTTCTTCTGTAAAGCAGAAGTTATAAGAGGAAATCTACAGGATGCAATTTACTTTCTTAGGTAATCAAAAGATCTGCAGCAGCAGAAAGTGGAGCGGAAAGTAGTTACCATCTTGAAGAGAAGCTGAATGGATTGAGGTACTGTGTAGCATCAGGGCTTGGAAAAAGAACCTTCAGTGAATGACTAGAGGAAACTCAAGCCAGTCTGGAGAAGGACAGATGAATTTGTTATTGACATGATGCACTTTTCAGTGAACAAATTTTTAGAAGAGGCATTCAGGTAGTGAGGTGACATAGGCCTAAGTTCAGGAGATTGGTTTCTAGCCAACAGATAGTGAGATAACAGAAGACTGCAGAAATACTCTGAAGTAGCTGCCATGTTCAGAAAAAAAAGTCATCCGGATCTCTTCCACTGAGCCACCAGTGATATCAGACATCAGATATGGTTCTGATAAAGCTGATAATGGCCACTTGCATTTAAAATATGCATGGAAGGCCTCTCCAGAATGGTTGTATTTTTTACTGACATTTTCATCTACAACAGATAATGCTAATATTGGTTGTTGGAGAACAGTTGCTCAAACCAAGTCTTAACATTTCATTAAGCTGCTGAGACAGTTACAGACAGACCTTGCTAGTGAGCAGTCTTTTTGCTCTGTTTCACAAGTGTATGAACATATTACAATACGTAGGCTACCATTCTTGTAGCTTCTTAGGGAAAAAAAAAAAAAGTTTCTGATGCGCTCAATTTAAAGCAAATCATGAAGAAAGCAAGGAATCATAAGTACTAGGTAGCATGCAGTGTTTTTCAGTGCTATAACTGTAGCTGTACACTATGAGCTGGAAATAAGCCATTCTTTATAAGGTGCGTGCTACTTGGGGATGACACAAGTATTTGAGCATTACTGAGAGTTCTGTTGATCTGACGATCATCTGTAACAACAGGCAGGAGATGGTCTTCTCTATCAGCCATGGGTCAACATAACTCTCAAGTATGCACACATTTATGCAGTGTTTCTTCTTAATAATGACCATTTTATTCCAAGCCTCCACTAACATCAGATTCAGAAAAAAAAGAAAAAAAAAAAAAGCATGTATTTATTTGGTTCTGTGATATATGCAGAGGCATTAACCCCACACCACTCCACTCCCTGCTCTACTCTACTCCCCACCTCTACTCTCTACTCATGTCTAAACATTAATGTATTTGCATGTCTGAAAGGAACTGGAAAGTATCTGCAATATTTCCCAGAGGATCTGATAGCTCTTCTCACACAAAAGCATATTTCCAAATCATTATGGCACAGTAACACTTCAACAAGAGGCACCTCAGGAAAGGCTTCTGACATAGTTTCAGTCTTCTGGTTCACCAATTTCACCACCTCGCTTGAAAGATAAACACCTGGACATTCATATTTTCAGTTAATATTGTCTTTCTCTTAATATGTTATGTTTGTGGTTCATATAGGATGGGTCATCAATAAGATGGTCTTTGGATAAATTTACTTTTACCACTGTTCAAAGTCCATAAAACTCAGGAACAACATGTGGATTTCTGATGTTCCTTGGCAGGCTCTATATCCACAAAATCATGAGTGAATTATTGTGATTCATATGCCACTTTCATTTTTGGCAGGTAATGCTGATGGCATTGGAGAGTGATTCTTTGAATGATCTGCACTCACTTCCCTGAAATCAGGACTCTGAAAAAAAAATAAAAATAAAAAAATTCAGAATGGAGCTGTCAGTATAAAAACATAAAAATATGTATGAGCATATCCATGTATTCTGTATAGACTTTGACTGTACAAATTCAGACTTCAGAGACAAGCAGGATGAGCAGGACTTTCTATAGTTCCTGTAGAAGGTTGGGCAAGGAAACATCTGGAGATGGACACTGAGGAAGAGGAAATATCTACATGTCAGTAATAGGAAAGTTATATTGTACACCTGCTTTTTAGGCGTGCCATCTGCGCTCAGTCATACCATAATACAGCTTTGATGACATGCCACAGCTAAAGGGCAGGCAATATACTTCTTGCTTCATTGACATGAATGACACAACTCTGTAAAATTCACTGCTTAATGATATAAATCGTAACTCTCACAGTATATGGTTGCCTCCACACACACGTTCTTCAGCGCTTAAACCCATACTAAGTATTTTGATACTGAAAGCACCGAAGGAGAATTACGGTGAAAACCAATGCACACTAGGTAAGTAATAGCACCTTATCTATACTAATGCTGAACTCATTATATTATGCTGGGCTATAACTACTCCATAACATCCAGTGAATATTGTTTACAATAACCTAATAACGAGCAATTCTGTTCCCATTACCGCTCACAATCTCATATTAAATGTTTCTTGTTTCCAAAGTGAAGAGCCTGACCATGTAGTTGAAAGGTATCACTACACTTTTTTAAAAGCTGAATAAATCTTGTATTCAGAAAGGGAAACATGATATTTATATATACATGTATATATATACACACATACACACTTTTTTTAAAGTGTGTAATTTGACTAACATACAAGATCAATTAAAAATAAGATTTATATTACAGTTCTTTCTTAAAGAAGCATTTTCCACAGCATGCTTCAGAATCTTTAAGAGGGAGCATGGTCTAAATACAGAATTCAGTTCCAGTCCTGGATCTACTCTTATATCCATGTGTGGCCTCAGGCAAATGTGTTAATTTTCCTGCTTCAGTTTCCCTGTCTTTAAAGTGGGGATAACACGACTAACCCAAACAGCTTAGCTGCAGTTTATAAGAGTGAGTAACTCGATTATTAGATTTCTGAGACATGAAACATGATTATTATTAGGATTCACTGACCAGCCAGTCGGGAGAGTGGGATACAAATAAAGGAGATGGGTCTTTGACAGTAGAAGCATGCCAGTTAGGCAGGCAGGCAGGCAGAGAAGCTCTGCGAGGAGGCAGCTCTAGGGAGTGGATAGTTATGCCTGTAAAAGTGTGAACGTCCCCTTTGTACTGACTTTCTATTTATTACCCCATGGTACCTAGAGACTATAAAAAGCTAAGTCCTCTCTGAGAAAGAAATAGGTCCAAAACAGTACCACAAACCAGCTGCAGGCAAATAAATTTTTATCTGTGTAAGAGAGCTAGATGTTATTTTCTAGTGGAAATGTCAGAATTGATTAAAGACTTAGCATTTCTATTTAAAATGAGGGTAGTGCTTGATACATTTTAAAGGGAGAAAAAGTCAGAGGCCCGGTAACATGGAGATAATGGTGTGAATTCATTTCTGGGCTTCCTGCAGTAGTTTGGTACTCAACATACCAGGGCCAAATTCACCCCACTCTACCTCATATAAATGGGAGTGCCTCTTAATAACTGAAAAAAAAAATTCTCCCTGCTGGCAAGGTCAATATTATTAATTGTTGTTCTTATTATTAACCTTTGGGCTTGTGTATCCTCCACAGATTAATGATTATTCAATAACAGCATTACAAGGTTGCAGTTGCTAATACCAATTAATAGAAGAGTGCAGCACAGGTTAACTGAGAAAAGCATTGACATATCAACTCCGTGGTCTTGGTCTTGTTTCTGAGACACACAAAGGTGTCTACAGGAATTGTAAACGCCAGTTCCCAGAGCTGGAAGAGGCAATGTGCCTCAAAGTCTTTTTTTTTTTTTTTTTAAAAAAAAAAAAAGGAGATGGGCTGACATCCAGGGTCCCCTCTCTTCTCAATCTCTTAGGGAATAAGAAGCAGCCTCGGCTTTCAGGGAAACCTGCACTCATTGCCAGGTTCACTTTCCAGGAACTCCACATCCAAACCGTGCAGCAGCGAAGATGGGAAAGAAGGGTCTTAAAAACAAAAGAACAGAGAAAAAAGTCCCTCCCCGAGGAGAAGTTACACGCACAAAGCCAGTTCCGAAGGAGCGGTGCCGAGGGGCACACGGTGCCAGGTGACACCGCAGCCGGCACCACCGCGGGGGGCGATGCGTGGCTCCCAAAACCACGCGCCGCGGCTGGACCCGGCTCTGCTCCCGGTCCCGACGGGGCGGCGGCGAGCGAGCGGCGACCCCCGGGGGGCTGCGCACCCCCTGCCCGGCCGGCCCCGACCCCGGCCCCGGTGCTGCCTGAACCGCTGGGGGCCGAGGGGCGCTCGCTGCCCGACAGGGGCCGGGGAGGGCAGGTGTGGAAATAAAAGATCGGGGGCAGACTGGAGGGAAGGGGAGGGGGCCAGGCGGGGGCGGAGGGGGGGGGGGCTCTGTGTGTGTGTGTGTGTGTGTGTGTGCGCGTGTGTCCCACCTGACTCCCTGCTCGGCGGGAGGCGGCACACACACACAAACACACACACACACACACGCAGCCGCCGCTCGGTTACCCCCCCCCCCCCCAACCCCCCCTCCGCCGCTTCCCATCGCCGCCCCCATCAAGGAGGGAGGCAGCAGGCGGGGACCCCCCCGGCCGCCCTCGGCCGCGCTGCCCCGACGGCACCGCCACCCCCTCCCCGGGGGCAGCGCGCACCTCCCCGCCCGGGGGGACCGGAGGAAGGAGGGGGTGGGGGGGGGACCGGGAAGGTGAGGGGGGGCCGCAGGCAGACGCCCAGACAGACAGACACGCAGACGCACGGGCAGGGCTGCCCCACGCCGGTACCTTGCTGCCCTGGTGGTTTCCGTCCGGGCTCCTCCTTGCTGAGGCAGCTCGGGAGCGGAGCCGAGCGGGCGGGTGCGCGCGTGTGGCTGTGTGCGTGTGTCCGTGTGTCTGTGCGTGTGGCTGGCTGGCTGTGCCTCCGTGTGTGTGTGTGTGTGTGCGGGTGTGTGCGTGTGTGTGTGCGAGAGCGAGCGAGAGCGAGAGCGACTCTCCCCCCTCCCCCCTCCCCCTCCTCCTCCTCGCTCTCCTTCCTTTAAACGCCCACTCCTGATGGGTGAAAAGACAACTTGAACTTCAGTGCAATTAACTTCGCCGGCGCCTCGGAAGCCGGAGGTGTCGCCGGCCTCGCCCGCCGCGCTCCCATGAGTGAGTCGCTCCCGCTCCTTCGGCGGCGCTCCACGGGCACGGGGGGGGGGACGGACGGGGCCGCGCCGGGGGCACCGCCGCGGTGCTCTGCGGAGCCCACCCGGCAGAGAGGGCGGGGGGACGGGGCGTGGGGGGGTCCGGGGGTGCGGGCCGGAGGGGGCTCCGTGCGGCGCTGCAGCCTGCGGAGCCTCCCGACGGGAGCCTTCGCACACACCTGCAGCCGGCGAGCTGCCGGCCGCCCGCCCCGCTCCCCTGCCCGCCGCCCCCGCGGCGAGGCGCAAGGAGCGGGGAGGGGAAAAAAAAAAAAAAAAAAGGGAAAAAAAAAAAAAAGGAAAGAAAAAATATCTGAAACTTTGGCAAACTTCTTCCCCGCGCTCCTCGCGGCGGCCCCGACGGCGGGGGAAAGCAGAGCGAAGCGCAGGGTCGGGAGGAGTGACGGGGAGGGGGGAGCTGGAGGGAACGGGGGGGCTGCGGGGCGCGGGGGTTGCGCGGGGCCGGGCGCCCCCCGAGCTGCGGTTGCGGAGCTCCCCGGACCCCCCCGCGGCCACCCGGCGCTCCGGGGACCGCTGCCAGGGGCTCGTCGCCGCGCTCCGGGATTTTTTCTTTTTTATTATTATTATTTTTATTTCTTTTTTTTCCCTCCGTCTCCAAAGCCGGCCCCTGAGGTTTTGCGCAAACCGTCCTCCTTTTGTCGCCGGCTCCGCTCGCTGCCCCCGGGAGCGCTCCTGCCAGGCAGGCACCTGCCAGGTCCGGAGTTGCCCCCTGCCTGTCCCCAGGCTTCTGGGACCGCGAGAGAAACTTCGCTAAAATGCAAGTTAGATGAAACACTTCGCACCAGCTTTCGGAAGCTGGAGTGAGCTGAAAATGACGAAAGCTCTCCGCTGCTCGTAGTCAGCCCAAGTGAGCGCAGCGCGACTGGGAAAATAATTCACAAATTCGGATCCAGAGCCTCCAAGGGGCCCGGGCGGGCAGTGCCCTTGCCTTCTGGTCCGGGCGTGAGTCAGCAGCGGTCCCTTATTTCTACTCTCTATTATTTTGGTATAGTGCGTTCATATATTTGTCTGCTGTCTGCTGGCAAACATTAGCATTCAAGCTTACATTTTTGACAAATGTGCAGACAGGAATAGCATGAATAGGCATCTTAAATATTAACAACCTAAGCATCTGTTGTGAAACAAATTTAATATATTTACTCTGTTTTTCTCACATTGTTAGAAAAGGTTACAATAAGTGTAAAATTTCAACTGTAGTTAGCACAAGGAATGCTTGGATATTTCACTATCTCTTCAAGCATTCAGCACAATCGCCAGATAGAAATGTGTCAAATCAGGCGCACTATTCAAAAACAACTTGAGACAGTAAGCGGGGAGTGTAAAGACGTGAACGTAGGGTGTTCTCTGCGATTTGTATCTCCTTCTGACTCTGCAGCACTATCTGTAGAATTTGAGTGCTCTTATCGGTCCCATGTTCCTATATGCTCTTTAATGCATTTATACATGCACTCATTTTCTAATTCATTCTGTCTTTGCGATTGTTATTGGTATTACCTTGCTTTTCAGATCGAAGCAATGGTTTGCGCAGAAATGTGTAATAACGTAGAGTAGGTAGCAAAATGAGCAAGCAGAAAATGTAACGTGTTCACTTCCAGGCGTGCATCTAAACAGCTAGCACGCGCACATCATGAGGCGATAGAAGAAAAATTAAAATCATGGGCTAGCGTGCTGTGTATGCCCACTCGTGAATACAAACAGCTAGTGGAAAAGAAACAACTGACCCCCAGGAATTCCTCCGGCCCTGGAATAAAACTGTTCTGACTAGAACAAGAGCACAGAAAAGTGAAGTCTCCAAAAAGACTGCAGAGTTATTTCAGGAGTCAGTGCATTCCTTCCCTTTTTCCCACAAGTTCAAATATGTAATAAATAAGTCCTTTGTATGCAAAAGAGTTTACTGGAACAAAAAATATTTAAATGGAATCCTTTTTGTGCATACACTTTGAAAATCTAGCTGTTTCCTTTTTACATTCTTTGCTGCTAATACTTTAAATAGGAAAGTGACTCCCAGTTTCTCCTCTCCTGTTATTTTAGCAATGCGCACCGATCCGAACCTGCTGCCCTGTAAAGCAGACAGAGTCAGTCCATAACTCGCTGATGGGATGCGCTGCTTTGCTAGACAGAGGAGTGGAGAGGGTCTGCCACAAAAGCCCCAGATCTGAGCAGGGCATCTCTTCTGGTGCACGGCGTAGGCCCCGCGGGTCAGCTGATGAGCACCTGCCTTCTGCTGCTGCGCTTCCCAGGCGAGAGCAGAGAGGCCAGCGCTGCCTGCGGCCCTGCCAGCAGCCCAGTAGCACCGACTGCGGCCACCAGTCCCACGGGGGATGTGGACACAAAGCCTCCCCAGAGTAGGAAACTCCTGAATGGGCGCTGATATGCCCTACGTTGCAGGTTCAGGGTGGACAGGGGTTTTAAATGGGGACGACTGCGGTTTAGAAGATACTCAGTTGAAGTCTGGTGTTCCTGAAAAACAGTAATAATAATAATAATAATAATAATAATAACAACAACAACAACATAAATCTTTTAATTGTATCGACTACAATTTTGGAAGTGATGTCACCTTTTTATTATCACTTATATTTTATATAGAAATTGTCGGATAAATTCAAAGACCTTCTTAATGTTTCCAGCTCTGTTTTGGAAAAAAAAAATCAAGGACATTACTTTATTAATAAAATAGACTGCATCATATAGAAAATTTATATTTAAAGTAGATTTCTGAATTAAAAATGGAGCGAACATGACTTATGAAATGTTTCGGTCACATTTCTAGGAACTACGCTATTTTAACGTAGATACTAGTGAAGCATTTTATTGCCTTCTTGTACATAACTGCCATTGCTCTCTCTAGATATATTTAATATATATCCAATGAAGCCACAAACTTTCCTTCCACAACAGTTTAAACACATCTGGAACATTTTACTTTCTTATAATTTATGTTAATAGATGTAGAGTGTATATACAATCTTCTCAGAAATCATTGCTTTTTCCAAAGGGGAATTTTTTTACTTTCAGTCAGGGAATATATTTATAAGAACAAAATAACTCAAAGTATAGGCAATTCTATATATCATTTTATTTTCTGTTAGATTAGGTTGATTATATAAAGCTTTCATTTAGAGCAATGGGATGATGAAATTACAGAGGAGTGATTGGCTTTTGTTTTTTCAAATGGTTCAAGTCGAGGGCTACAAAAATGAATGTTTTTGGTAAAGTTCTTTGAGTACATAATATTTTTCATAGAATTCTGACAAATTAATTTAATAGAAAAGCCACAAGTCTCTTAGCACGGGAGGCTATATTTTCAGGTAAAATGGGAGTTCTGCTTTTGCCATTATAGGCATCAGGCTTCAGTAATCTGCTCCTCTTGTGGAATGAACACTTTCTACTTAAAGCTATCATGCACCTACTGTTTATTTACGCTGCATTAAACTGACAGCACAGCAATCAGAGGAAAAATATGACTTACTTTCCTGAAGTAAACACCAGTTTATAGGTTGGTGCGTGTATGTATATTCCTGTTGCCACTAAATAATGTCTGTCTCCATTTTAATATCTACCTGTGATGTTATCTAGGGTAGCTGACTCTTCCTCGCTTGAAATGAGGGGAAAAGAAAAGAAGGGCAGGGGAAGAAAAGAAAGTTTCCTTATCATTCCACTCCAAGGGAAACTCTGTAGAAAAGTGAATCAGTATTCCTTTCTGTGGCATGCAGGAGCCAGTTTTAAAGACACAGCATTTAGTTTTGCTTGGTGTATTTGAATTGCATCTCAAACAGGGAAAACAGAATTCCTTAACAGTATTTGTCTATCCAAGTCACTGAAATTGTATATTCAGGCAACGGCAGATTAAGGGCAGAAGCATTTTATTAATAACTGAAAGCACATATGTGTGTGTGATGAAAAATGTTCTGCAAATCTGTCACTATGCAATCAAGTGCATTTTTTAAACTTTAGTTGTCACAAAGTTGCCACCGATTCTAAAAAAAAAAAAAAAAAAAAAAAAAAAAAGTAAAACAGTTTGATGGTTAAAGAGTAACTTACAGTTCTTATTGCTTGTTATACTGAAATTTTGCAACTTTATAAAGTCCATGTCAGAAAACCCCATTGATGTTACTTTTTATCTTGGACTGACGAGTGCAAGTAGCTGGCTCTTCAACTGGAGATAACTGCAGGTAGAGTAACTCACAATTTACGGAAAGCACCCTTAAATTTTCTGCCAAAGGGTTCCATTAATAATCTTTACCCATGAAGTATATTTTTCTCTACCATTCTGTAAATTATAAAATCTAGCATTAAATTAGCTCATATGCCAGCTCCCATGTAAGTGGTACTAGTATCACAAGCTCTCAACAGTACCTGACCACAATTTGTAACTGTTACTTCAAAAAGGATATGATATAATGGTGCCTTCTAAAATGTAGGTGTTTTCTAACATTTGCCATCCTGTGGCATCTAACTTCACCACAGTATCACCGACACTTTATTGCTTAATTGATACCTGCTTGCTGCTTTGCAAATGTTGACTTTCTAATGGTTCCTGCACTGCATGCTCTCAATAAGTATAAATCCAGGTAGAGATTAATTTTACATGGTTTTGCCAGTCCTGATCTTGTTCACATGTCCTTGTACCCTATGCCAACTGTAATCTACCCTTGATCTGCATAATCTGGTATAGTATAGTAGGAATAGCGTAGCACCAGCAAAGTACGGGAGTGGAGCATAGTTACATACCTCAGGCACTGTCTGAATTGTAAATATCTGTTTTTAAACTTGCTGGGCCTGACTTTCCTCTCATGCACACTTGTGGATCTGTGTGGAGGTCCGTAGACCTTTGTTTTGACGGTTCTGGTTTTGACGGGATGAGTGTTAGGTGTTCAGATGGGCTGAGGGACACACTAGCATTTACTATACAACATTTACACCAGAGTCACCTTTTTCCTATTCATTTATAATGCCAATATAATGTGATCTCAGTTTTTCAGCAAGACTGTGGGCATTGGTGTATGCCAGGATTGGCACAGGCTGTAAGAAGGCCTCCTCTCACCGGAGCGTGGGCCTGCTCCTGTCCTTAAGCTGCTGTAAAACAGCATTGGAAATGCTTTTCCACATCTGTGGGTTCACAGGAGTTAGCTCGAGCCATCTCCTGCTTTTCTGGTATGAACTGCAGGCTGGATGGGCAGAAGAATCTGCTTGTGTGCAGGTGGACCTCAGTCACCTGAACTGCACCTGGGAACAAAGCTTCAGGATGGGCCACGTCTATCAGCTGTGTTGGCCTTGCATAACTCCCAGCCACTATCTGCTTTATCTCTTTCCCTTGGCACATTATGACATGATATGACCTGAGGAGATGAGGGAGGTGCTTTAAACCTAGAATGCACCTCATCTTCCCAGGATCCTGCTCTGACAGGATTTATTTGGCCAGCAGCAATCGTTTGTGCGTCGTTCCACTTGCTGCTCGGTATAAGTGGTGATGCAGTGGGATCATGTATACCTGGAGGACTGTCTCGTAACCTTTTCTGGTGTCTGGAGTCCTGGTCTTGCTTTCAGTTCCAACACTGACAAGGTGTGTGGTCTTGGTAAAGCACTGACCATGGCATGTTTGCAGCCCTTTATGTCATGAGCCTGTGAGTGCCGAAGCACTCACAACTTTGTATGAAAGAAGAGGAAGCTGCAGCACACAGTCTCTCTGTAAATGTGGCCTAAATATGCCTCTGGTTTATTTACCCCTCTTTGGAATTAGCAATATATACATTTCATATATCACTGAAATATTAATTAATTCTTTATATTTGTAAATCGGTCCCAGAATGGAAAACATTTTTATAGCACAATACAGAGAATTGCTGCTCTGAACTCCAGCCCACATGCAAAGGTTTGACAAAGGTATTTCCTTTTCAGTAACTTCTCTTAGAATATGTCTAGTTGTAATGAAAAACATTTGCCATAAACAGAATAAAAATTCTAAATATGCCCTAAGTATTCCCAATTTTAATACATCAAATAAAAGACAGAGAGGAGTGGAGAGCGTGCGAGACTGTGCATGCATGCAAACTCACAGAGGAACTAAAGGAAAAAAAAATGTGGGGAGAAATTTCAGAGTGAGTTTTACAATGTTTATAATCAAAGATTAAATTATTATTTTTATTTTTTTTTTGTAAAGCTGTATTAGAATGACTTTAAATCATTAACGCTTTTCATCATAGGTGGGCTTCCTTGATAAATGTAAAAAGTCTTGAGAATAATTAGAGGCATCTTAAAACTTTAAAAATGACAGTTTTAGCTTCTAAGGATTCATTGTAATATAATAATACTGTATGCTTTTTAGTGTTACTTCTGCACTAGACATTTAATTACAGTCTTTGTGAGACATGTTATCTGTATAGTAACCAGTGCATAAAAAGAATGATATATACTTCTACATACAAGCTCTTGCTTGCCAGCTTTCTTTTTAAGATTATAGATTAAGATCTCCAATCCAGAATGTTCATGTCTTCAATCAAAACAACTTAATTTTAGACAATTTTCAGGAGGAATGGGGCATTCATTGTAATAATATTTCTTCTCTCATTACTTTTCTTTTTACAGTAATACTTGAACGGCTGATTAACAGCGGTTTTGGTTTGTTTTTTTCTTTTTTTTTTCCTGTGCGAGAGCCGAAAGTCAGCATTTCTTTGCTTGTTCAAAGGATAGATTACAGATCATCAAATGAAAAAGCATGTTTAACTTGCATATTGAGACAGAAGATTCAAAAAAAAGTAAGAGTAGTTAGGTAGGGTTTTCATATGTACAGCTTAATGTTTGAAGGAAATTTAGAGCTTGCTTTCCCTGTGTCAGTTATTCAATATTGTCTGATATGTGTTGTGGATAATGTAAATCTCTGGAATTCATAACTTGGTCCGTGCACGGCTGTGGAATAGAGTTTGTTTGCAAGGAAGATCAGGTACATGAGAGTTTTCCTTGTGCTATACTTGCAGATTCCGGTAATTGTGCAGCATGTGTAGGGTGCTGAGCTGTGCCCGTAGTTCTCATTCTGTGCTTTGGTCATTTGCAGGACTGGGCACAATGGGAACTGCATCTAACCCCGTCAGAGCAGATCTTTCCAATTGATCAGGTGCAGGTCCTCTTTCAGGTTTTTCTTTTTTTTCTTCTTAAGTAGAATTATTGTTCAGGAACACCACAATATTGGAGTAGGAACCCTCATTTCAGTACTCTTTATAAGAAAATCTCACGGTGAAATCAATCAACCAAAATCAATCTCTGTCCCCTTGACTCTACTGTATTGGGTTTCTTTTTCTTTCTTTTCTTCTTCATTTGACTTGCTGAATACCATAATCCTTTTGGCCATTCCTGAAGGATTTTGTTATCATCTTTTTAAGATAAAGGATGTAATAATTATGTAATAACAATTTTGGATTTAAAACTTGTGATTCCACTAGTTTATTTGGATTGCATGTCCTATGAGAAACTGACTTCTGCATTACCAATTAAAATGACTATTAGGATATGCATAGATGCAGTTATTATTTTCTAAGGACTCCAGAAGAATTTCCTAGATGCCATGCCAGCAAATTAAACTGCTAGAACTTTTTTATTTGTGTGGCATGATGAAAGATATGCCTTAAGACACATTATACTGTCTGATAAATTGCATTTCTAAACAGTATTTCATATAGGTTCTGTCTCTTTAAAAACGCAGTCTCCTCTATTTGCCCTATTAATTGTTGATATGTTGCCATCCACGAGACAAAAATTAGAGCTGTAATTAAATAATCATGTGATGCTCCTTAGTGCCAGTGAGAGCAAACTCATTTTTCCAGGCCCTGATGGTCACTGATTATTGTATTACTACTGGCTTGCTTTATTTTTTTTTAATGGCTCTATATTGCTGGGTTACCTAACCACTGCCCTTCTTTTCAAAATTAAAGGAATTGAAGAACATTAAGTCACTTAATTGGCCAGTGGTCTACGGGGACACAAAGTAGTCATACCTTCTCTGCTTTTTGGTCACTCAATTGGTTCTACTGGGAGAGCTACATCAGTGGTGTGGTTGCGTGCCATTTAATTTACACTGGTGTTTTGGCTGGGATGGATGCATATAGGGAATGCCAGGAGAATTACAAAAGGAGCAGGGTATTAAAATTCAGAAATGATTAAAATTGAAATAAAAGGATGCTGCTTCTTTGCCAGTACTCTGGCAGTCATAATGACACATAGAGATTAGTTTCCACCTTCATCTTTTCCTTCTTTCTCATTTCCTCTTGTTTATTGTTGACACATTTTCCTTATGTCTCTGCTTCTCAGCGCTTTTTTTCACTGTTACATATTCCTACTTTTTCTCTTTCCTTAAGCATGGAGAAGCTTACTTAACCTTATTATAACAATAACAGAATAGGTTATTAATATTTAATATGCACATGATTAAAATTTCTCTCTTAAACATAGGTCAGCTCTATTATTAACTGACATGTTATTTTTCATTAAAAAATTTTTATTCTGCCCTTACGGTTTCTCAAACACCCTTTACTTTGGTGGTGATTTAACACATAATGTTTAGAAAACTGTGTTAGGCTAGTGAAAAAAAAGAACTTACCAGTCATGGATAATCAATTATGCATGAATTCAGATATAACAGATGGAAACTGGTGAGTTAAAGTTTCTCTTTAGCTTCATGATTTTTTTGTTTTGTTTTTGTGACACCTGTCTCTTATGTATAGATAAACATCTAACATAGCATACTGCTTTTCATGCATCTTTTTGTTTTTTTCATTTTGGGGGGTTGTTTTTTTTGTTGTTGTTGTTTCTTTTTGTTTCTGTTAGTGTGGCATAAACTCATTTTCCTCTGTTTCTAACTTACTATTTTTAATTTGTTTGTCTGTTGGCATTTCTATACTGCCTTACTTTTCTAGGGCCAAATTATCCTGTGATGATAGCACTTAAACTTCTCATAAACTACACAGTGTCATTTAACCTTAAAATTGTGTCAGCATGATATTTTAAATTATATGAGTTCACTTCTGCCTTTAGCTGCTCATGGCCTATAGTGTTACGACATGAAAGCAACAGGGTAGACTATGGCTGTGCATATGTATTCATATATGCATATGCACACATTCTTGTGATTGTGATACTTATATAGGCGTTCCCTCCGAAGGCATTAATTAAATTTCTTTCAATCCTTTGACAATGAAGCAGATTGCTTTACTGCTTTTTATTAAAAACTTCAGTATGGACTGGGCATACAATTTCTTTTGGTCATGGAAAGATTTTCACAGGCCTAAATCACGCAAAAGACAATAATCCTTTGCTACGTGCCCACAGCAACAACCAATTGGTATTACGTAAAAGAAGAGCTACATACATTTTTTTCTCTCTCTCTCTTTTTTTTTTTTATATATAAAATTCTAAAAAAGCTTGATGCATGTGCTTTGATGAGCTTACAGATGTGAGTTTACAGTTTTTTGTGTGTAGTTCCTTCCTGGTGGCTTACTGGGGGATTCTTGAAATTGTCCTGTGTTTCAGAAACGCAGGTGTAAGGTGATTTGAACATTCTTTTTCTGTGCCTGAAAAAGTTTGGAGCATTTATTTACCTGGCTTCATCCACATTTGAAGCTGCATGTTTTTGGACATGGTGCAGGGAGCTTTTCGGTCTATGAAATAAAGATTAGTTGATAGGGAATGCACCCCATATTTTTCATGAATAAAAAAAATAAAAATTTCTTGTGAGCATGTTACGTACAGTTTTGAAGAGAAAATTGTACTACGGGAAGGAGTTTGTAATATAACCTGCCAGGAATGAATGATATTGAAAAGAGTTCCTTAGAAAATGGACATGGACATTTTTGGACGATGTGAAAATAATTGATTTCAAACGTTATTTCGCCTGTCACCGGTGGAGCTCTGGTAGGAACCTTCATGTGCATGCCTCAGCTTTCCCACATGCTTCTTCCTCAGCTATTATGTCAACATCAAATACAAACTTTTCTCCCAAATGTTTGTATGTAGTTCGGAAATATATATATGTATTTACACTCGGGCATTTTGTTCTAGTTCTAGAATAAATGAACTGTCATGAATATTAACCTCATTTTGCCCTAAAAATGTCATATTTTAGTGGGTTCCCAACTTCTTACCCATGTCAGCCCGTTTTCATTGTAGCTGATAGGTAGGAAATCTAGAAATGTAGTTATTTTAGCAAATAAATGCATTAAATACTGGAGCACGCTTTTGCTACAGTATTTTATTTTATTTTATTTTATTTTATTTTATTTTATTTTATTTTATTTTATTTTATTAATCAGGACAAATATTTTGAACAAGTTACTT